AATTTTTTTTTGTTATATTTCAATTTAGTCCATTGGCTAAATATGTAGATTATGATATTATATAAAAAAATTAATTTTTATACATATTTTATGCATAAATATGTTATTTAATAATTAATTTATTTTTATATATAAAACTTTTCTTCAATATTGTTAATATTAAGTATTTTTTATAATAAATATATTTTTAAAATATTAATGATAAATTATTTTAATTATTTAGGTTATTTCGATTAACCAAGCGAAAAAGGCAATTATTTCTATTCGATTTTAATTTGAATTTGCACATAAGAAAACTCGCACTGAACTGAATGCACAATATTATAAAAAATAATGCACATTATTGTCTGTCGGACTGCACTATATTGTTAGATCAAATGCACGTTACGGCGTTCGAGAATATGCACATTAACATTACAATGTGCACTTTCACAAATATTAAATTTTATTTATTCGGTCATATTTGACTTTATTTACAAAAAAATAAAAAAATAACATAATCGATTGCACAATACAAAAAATATTTTTTTTTATATTTTATCTGTATATATTATTTATGTTCAACCAAAAATAATATAAAGTATTAAATAGAAAACATCAATACTAAATATATTTTTATAAAAAAATAATTGCACTTCTAGCACACATTAATCTTATATGGATTGCACATTAGTGACTGTTATATTGCACTATAGCGATCGAGCTCGACAGAACTAAGTTTTTTTGTACTGAATTTTACAGTTCGATTATCTATTTTTACCTTTAAAAAAAATATTATATTTTTTATTTTATTTTTTATAATGTATTATTTTTTCAATAACAAATAAATAAAATATTAGATACAAATATTAATGTGCAATTTTCATATTATTAAAGTGCAATTTAATTATCGTTAATGTGCAATTTACATATCATTGATGTACAAGTATTGAAATTTTCATAAATTATAAATTTGGCCCATAAAACTGAATTGTAATATATTGAAATTTCTAAATTTGCAAGTTAATACTTTAAACATATAAAATTTACAAAAGATGCCCAAATTCTACACTGCAACTCTCGTTCATTTTAGGCCTCTCTGCCGGCGATGGGATGTCGGGACTGTGGCAGCGATGGGCTTAGTGTCGTCGGTCGAGTGCCGGCGCGGCAGGCGGGTGGTGGTTCACGCCGCCAGCGACCTGCAATGTCTTGGTACGCGCCGTGGCTGAGATACCATGGGCCGATGCGGTGGTTGCAGGTGGCGACGAGGTGGATGTTGTCAGAGGCGACGTTAGTGGCGTAGCTGGTGGCGATGGCGGGTTAGTCTGGTTGGTGCAAGTGGAAGAAGGTGGCGGACGGCGGAGGCGAATTGCGGAGTCGAGGCGAGGCTGTTGTGACCGGATGGCTGAGGCAAAGCGGTGAACTGGTGGAGGAAGACGGAGGCTAGGTGGAGGTTTGATGATGGCGACAATTGTTGTGGCTGTCGGAAATTCGCCGTGAGCTCTGGACGGGTTACGGTGGTGGGGTGTGTCTGTTGTCGGAATGAGAGCTGTCGGCGGGTGGCCGGACCTTTTAGATTTGTGCGTGTTGTACGAGTGTGAGAGAGAGAGAGAGAGTGAAGTAAAGAGGGGGAGAGAGAAGAGAGGAGAGAGGAGAGAGGGGAGAGAGAAGAGGTTAGTCAAATTACATACCTGCCCTTCTAGTTATTAATTTGTCCATGACAAATTTATATAATTAAAAATTTGCCACTGCAGTTTGACTATGTTAACTTAATTTTGATTCCATCATGCACATTGATATAAACTGTTCTAAAAATCGGCATAGGCGGCCGCTTAGACGGTGCCCGGGCGCCTCCAATTTGCACAAATCGGCAGAAAAAATCGGCCAGGCGGTTAGGCGGCGCCTAGGCGGGCATAGGCGGACCTAGGCGCTCCTAGGCGGGCTCGGCGGCAATTTTTCAGTTTTTTTTTTTAATTTTTTTAAATATTAATTACGTTATTTTGTTCTCATGTTTTCTTTACAATATATTAATTTTATTATTTGGACTTAGGTGTGTCGATTTATTATAAGTTGAGATAATTTTATTTTGTATGTAGTTAAAATAAATACAAATAAGGTATTTAATATTGATTTCTAGGCCCCGCCTAGGCGCTAGGCTCTGGTCGAGCGCCTAGCGAATTTTAGAACACTGGATATAATTGATCCAATGGTCCATAAGCATTCTTATTTCTTTCACTATCTATCATTTTCTTATATATATATATATATATACTGTTATTATTATTATTATTATTATTATTATTATTATTATTATTATTATTATTATTATTATTATTATTATTATTATTATTATTATTATTATTATTATTATTATCTGTATAGCCTGAAACCCCCTGAAATTAGAGTTAGGTCCTTTATTGATATCCCGTTTAAATTCGGACTTTTTAGGTCCGGCCGCATTAAAAGCTTCCTATGGCCTGTCCGTGTAACATCGTAACACAATCTAGAAGATCCAAACACACTAGCGCAGAGCATGTGACTCGGAGAATCCCGAACCGTTCTGGCAACCAAACCGAAATCACTCCGAACCAAAAAATTACCGTTTGACTTTCTCCGAATCGAACCGAACCAAAAGATTAATTGGAACGGTTCTGGAGATTTCATAAATATCCATATCGAGAACCGAAACGAACCATCCCATATCGTACTGAACCGAAGAACCGAAATTAAGAACCGAATTATAACATTAGATGTGTGTTATTGATGTATTTTTTTGTCAATTTTGATCGTATATAGTTTGAGAATTTTTAAAATGTAAATAGAATATAGTAATAAAAATTAAGCTTCACCTGTATTTCATGTCTAGTAATACTTAATATATCATTGAATTTTTCATGTTATAAGAAAAAAATATTTAAACTGGTATGAAAGGTTAAAGAATATTTTTTTTTTAAAAAAAAAATGTATTATATTTTGTTTGAATATTAATTTCAATATTAGTTGCAAGAATTTAGTTTTAACTAAAATTTAGAGTTAGTTCTAAAGTTGGTTTCAAAATAAAATTTTTAATATGAGAAAGTATTGGTAAATGTTGTTTTTTTAAGGCATATATAAATTAAATAACTAAAATTTCGAGTTACTTCTAAAGTTGATTTTAAAATAAATCTTAAATATGATAAAGTATTGATGGATGTTATATGTATGTAAATAAAATAAGAAATCTCCGAAAATCCGAAACGAACCGAAAAATAAAAATCTCCATACTGAACCGTCCCGATTTTTTGGGACGGTTCCAAAAATCGAACTTAGATATCTCCGAATTTTAGTATGGTTCTGGAGATTTTTCAATTTACAAACTGTACCGACCCATGCTCACCCCTAAAACACACACAAAGAAAAAGTCCATTTTGAGAAAATGAAATAGAGGACCTTTCCTAACCTTGGATTATTTTTTGAAAAGTAATCAATGACTACTTCTTTCTGTACTCCATTTTTTTTTTCAAATTCGAAAACTTTGGAGGTCACTTTCGGTAGTGCGTAATACTGGAGTTGTTTGGCGAACCAAACACGAGAAACTTGGCGCATATTCTATGGTGCAATCCCTCTCATTACACACACACGCACGCACGCACGCAAGCACGCATATATAATTCGAATTTGGGAATCAATCTGTTGCGAAAAAACCCTAGCTGATTACGAGTTCCTCTGAGGGTTGAAATCGATTGACCAGCTTCGGCTGCAAAAACAAGTAAGATTTTTGTTTGTTTGTTTGCGTAATTTTTTCTTTATTTATGATCTTCTCTTCACGATCTTTATTCACTGCTACTGCTCAGGTGTTTGCCTTTCTTTTGTTGCTATTTTTGTCAATGGTGATGCTGGTCTATACGCCATTGTTGTGGTTGTTTTAGTGAGTAATTTTGTGGGTTCATGGCCTTTTCTTTACTTCTTGCTGATATGTGTTGGTTGTTAGTTGGGATATAATGATTTGACTTGAATTTTGTATGTTGTTTGAATATGGTCGCTTGAGCTGAATCGTTCATATGTATGCACATATGGAGGCTTGGAGAAACTGTTTATTGAGCATAATTGTGTAAGAGAAACTGTTTTTTTGAAAGTGAAATAAAGTGTATGATGGAAATCTGGCAGGAGTGGTTAATCGGGGGGCGTAACAAGGAACTGATAGAGATGTTTAGGTTAGTTTCTGTTGTGGTTTATGGATATTTGGGGATTTTGTGGCAAGTGGTCTTAACTAACTAGTCTTCGCGGTTGGGATTTCAGCTACTCATTCTTGTGTGAGAGAACAAAATCTGTGCTGAAGTTGTCCGCACTGAGCAATAATTATGTTCGTTCTTCGCTTAAATGTTTGTGTAAACTGGTGAATGTGTATTCTGAGTGTAGAGTTTTCTAATTGTTCCCATCTTTTTAATGGCATTTTACTAGCTTATGTATTCGAGTGTAGAGTTTTCTAATTGTTCCCATCTTTTTAATGAAATTCTACTAGCTTAATAAAGTTACCTTTTTTCTCATTCTATTAAGAAGAATTGCTAACTTTGAAGGACACACAACAGCTCTAGTTGCATTTCACTCTCCATGTTGTATAAATGTCTTGCTTTATCTATTTTTAAGTAGTTTCCTTTCGCCAATTGAATACGACCATGGTTTTTCACCGAAAGATTCATGATGCAGATGCAAATTTCATAACAGTCCATTATACGACAATGAAACATTTGTGCAGCGAAAAATGCATAGTTTTGTTTTATGACCCGGATCTCTATTTACTTTCTTCTGCACGCCTCTCGTCTTCCATGTTTATTTCAAATTACTCCCCCTCCTGTTCTACTACATTTTTTTTATTGTCTGATGCTAAAAAATAAATAAATAAATAAATAAATAAAAAACATGCTTTGTCTAATCCAAACTATTCAACTGATTAAACGACAGGTTTTCCTTGCAAATTATGTATGTTCTCTTTTCTTGTTCTTACTTAAATTCCCACAGATCCATTTCACTCGCAAAAAAAGATGGAGCAACAAGGAAACAAACAGATCCCCTACGGCAGCATCCACTCGTACCAGCCGCCGAGCCAGATGGCTGGGCCCACGCCCGCCGGGCCGGGCCAGGCCCAGATGGCGTACCAGCACATCCACAACCAGCAGCAACAGCAGCTCCAACAGCAGCTTCAGTCCTTCTGGGCGGCCCAATACGAGGAGATCGACCAGGTGGCCGATTTCAAGAACCACAGCCTTCCCCTCGCCCGGATCAAGAAGATCATGAAGGCCGACGAGGACGTGCGCATGATCTCGGCCGAGGCCCCCGTCATCTTTGCCCGTGCGTGCGAGATGTTCATCCTCGAGCTGACCCTACGCTCGTGGAGCAACACGGAGGAGAACAAGCGGCGAACCCTTCAGAAGAATGACATAGCAGCTGCAATCACGAGAACCGACATATTCGACTTCTTAGTGGATATAGTGCCGAGGGAGGATTTGAAGGAAGAAGTGCTCGGCTCCCCGCCGGTAGGGAGAGTCGGGACTGAGGGGGTGCCGTATTATTACATGGCGGGGCAGCAGGCAGCCGGGTCGGGGGTTTACGGGTATCACGTGGATCATCAACAGATGTGGGGTCATCAACAGCAGCCGCAGCCGGAGGATTCCTGAGCTAGTCTCTCTCTCACTCTATCTAAGTTTGATTCGGGTCTGTGCGTAAGGTGACATGGCTTAAGTGCTCTTTTTTTTTTTTGTAGTTTTGCTGCTTGTGACGTTTAATATGGTCGACTTTTGTTTCTTTCTTCCCTTTTCTCGGATTTCTGTAGTAGAACTAAATTTCCGGTGTGTGATCTTTTTCTACTTTTGGAAAGTTGTTAAATTTGCTTGCAGATTTAGCTTGATTGGCAAATAATACTTAGACGCACAACTAGTCCATTAAGGGGTGTGTTTATTTTCTAAATGAACTGCTCGGTTGGGAGCAATATGTCACGTAGGAACCTATGTAAAGTAAAATGTGTATTTTGTGAAAGATATCTGAGCTGAAACTTCAAGGTTACTGTATTTTACTATTTTCAAGTCCTTTTTGTTGTTTTTGTTTAACTTGTTGTTTAACTTCAAGCTGAATCAAGTATGCAATTTAGGTAATGTTATGTACAAAAGTCTCGACATTGTTAGTAAAGCAACCCTTGAAGGCTTAGTGATGTAGGTTATTTTACAAAACACTAATCACTGTTTGTTACTTTTTTGTAGTAATGTTGTAAATTAGGGTTGCAAACGAGACGAGTCGAGTCGAGCATTGGCCTTATCGAGCAGGATTGATTTTTTTTTTTTTAGCTGCTCAAACTTGGTCTCGAGCTCGATTTATGATATGTGATTATATTAGCTGTATAATGCAAGTGGGCCAGTACTAAAATATGTTCATCATCATATCGTTTTCTGCCGACCAGTAAGTACTAGCATATATGCCGATGTCATGATATGTTATTATATTAGCTGTATATTTCAGTATTGGTTTCGGCGGAGCACGTGGATTATTTATGCTCACGCCCCCCACTAACTATTTTTCAGGTGACGGTGTCGAGCGTGGAATGGAGACGATGATGTGGTGGTGGTCATAGCAAGTATATTTTTAGTAAACATGTCATTATATTTTAACATGTTTGAGTTATTATGCTTTGTTGATGCATGCTTACATTTGCTTCCGCACTCAGTATTTCAGTATCTAGAATTTCAGTCTATGCATGCTTAAATCCTGAGATGTTTAGAGTAATGAATTATAATCGGTTGCATGCCTAGTAGTTTAAAGCTATTAAAGATTAAAGATATAAGATTAAAGAGTAGCATCCTGCATATTATAGTTAAAATCTTTTCGAAAAATTAATATGAGTTTTAGAAAATTAAAACAGAGCTTTCCTTTTATAGCGCGAAAAATTTACTATGATTTTAGTAAGTTTAGGCGGAGTGTTACAGAAGAAGCTTATGATATAAGCTCGAGCTTTTTAAAAAAGCTCGTCCTACCGAACAAAGCTTATTTAAATACAAGAAACTTAAAACCAAATAAGCTATAAGTTAGCTTATTTGTCTACCAAACATAACGTTATGTTGGGTAAAACTAGTTGATAGCTGATAAGCTAGTTTATAGTTTATCAATAATTTTCGAGCTTATAGCTTATGACTTATAGCTGAAAATTAGTTTATGTAATAAAAATGTTTGGTAAAATTAGCTGATAAGCTAGCTGAAATAAAAATTTCAACGAGCTTATTTGAAAAGTTACCCAAAGAAGCTTATGAGATAAGTTCGAGCATTTAAAAAAAAAAAAAAAAAA